TGCTTCTGTTCTGTCTGTTTGTTTTTGTTTTAATAAACATTTAGAACTTTCCTACTGACTGTCTCGTCTTGAATACTTGGTCCATCTGTCCCGTTTAATGACACAAAAGGAGTATAAATATTTTCAAGCCCCTCAAAAACATATGAATTTAGGCCTATATATTATCAATCAGCAAAAAAAAAATCTTTTTTTTTGTTACAGATACCTTTTAGAGGTTATTTTTTCCTAATAAACTGTAAAAATTTGCTTTTTGTGCTATCTCTACATGTCGCCTGCACTGTTTTGAGAATTTACTGCACTTTTGTTATAATCCTGCTTCTTTTTGTCAAAAACCTCCTTGTGTTATGGTTCTTATTTGTTGTAACTCTGAGTTTTCAGTTTTCTGTTATCAGTTGCTTTGTTTTTATTTTCCATGATCTTCAAGCATTCTTTAGTTACTCTCTGCTGCCCCCTTGTGATTGTTTTTCTTTCCCCTTGGATTCCCTCTTGCCAGTTCCACCCACACCTGCTCCTCATTCAGCTCGTTAGTCCATCCTTTGTTCTGTTCTCCTTAAATACTCCACCTCTGCAGTCACTCAGTGCTGGTTCCTTCTTCTTGCCGTATTGTCTACTCTGCTCATCTCTCCCCGGCTCCTCAGACTCGTTTTTTCCCCTGATGTCTCTATGATTTTGGTTTGTTTTATATTTTAAGTTGGATTTCTGGATTTCTGCCTCTGCTGCTATATGTTCTGCAATTAAACCTCTCAGAACTCATCTCTGCTTCATTTGTCTCTGCATCTGGGTCCTCAAGCAACCTCACCACCCATTGTTGACACCTTGGTTAAAAAAAAGGGGGTAACGGCATTAGATTTTTGCTCAGGGTTTAGTCTGGGATTTTATATAGTTCAGGAAAAGTTTGTTAGGAATATTATTATTGATTATGTGAGTCTGTTAAAGCCTAATGTTACCTGCCTGTTGTGTGTCCGAACTAATGTTTTCCCAAGTAGTTTATCTAATTAGGATGGTTCTTTATGTTCATTATGCACATGGCAAAGATTTGGGAATGGAAATAGAGGGATGTCCTTGATCTAAGAACATAATTTAATACTTGATAAGGCTGGAGCCATGGATGTCTCCTCATTTGCAAACGATGTAATGATGCAATGATGTGGCAGACTGGAGATGTATAAAATGCTTCTCTAACTGTGAATCTTAGCCACTGTATGAGATGTGATTCCGCTTGATAAAGCGCTGCCTTCTGTAACTCTAAGCAACATCTCTGATCTGAGT